CTGAGGCTGAGGCAAGCTGAGGCTGAGGCAGTCTGAGGCTGAGGCTGACGCAGGCTGAAGCCGAGGCAGGCTGAGGCTGAGGCCGAGGCAGGCTGAGGCTGAGGCTGAAACTGAGGCTGAGGCTGAGGCAGGCTGAGGCTGAGGCTGAGGCCGACGCAGGCTGAGGCTGTGGCCGAGGCAAGCCGAGGCAGGCTGAGGCTGAGGCTGAGGCTGATGCTGAGGCAGGCTGAGGCTGAGACAGGCTGAGGCTGAGGCTGAGACAGGCTGAGGCTGAGGCAGGCTGAGGCTGAGGCCGTGGCAGGTTCGGGCCGAGACAGGCTGAGGCTGAGACCGAAGCTGAGACTGAGGATGAGGCCGAGGCAGGCCGAAACTGAGACAAGGTGAAGCTGAATGGGGGGGGGGGGAACGGGGGGAGGGGAGGCTGAGGCAGGCTGAGGCCGAGGCAGGCTGAGGCCGAAGCAGGCTGAGGCTGAGGCTGAGGCACGCCGAGGCAGGCTGAGGCTGAGGCTGAGGCTGAGGCTGAGGCTGAGGCTGAGGCTGAGGCTGAGGCTAAGGTAGGCAGAGGCTGAGGCTAACGCAGGCTGAAGCCGAGGCAGGCAGAGGCTGAGGCTGAGGCAGGCTGAGGCTGAGGCCGAGGCAGGCTGAGGCTGAGGCTGAGGCAAGCCGAGGCAGGCTGAGGCTGAGGCTGAAACTGAGGCAGGCAGAAGCATCCGTAGATATCCATGGGAATCCTCCGGAATCCTTAGGAATCCTTAGGAGTCCGTTGGCATCCTTAGGAATTCCTAGGCATAGTTAAACATCCTCTGGAATCCTTCGGAACCCTTGGGATTCCATTGGATCCTAAGGCCGTTGCCACTGCGACTGTCATTGCGAATGCGACTGCGACTGCGAGAACAGCAGAATTCTACAACTGGATTCTCACCTGAATCTTAAGGGGAATGCTTCCTGATATGCTTATACACATCGCCGCTAGGTTGCTTCAAGCCAATATGCCGCTCGAGTGAAGGCGGTCGTTTCTGGGAGGCCCGCAGCAGCCCGGGGCTTTCATTCTATCTGCTGCTCGAGAAGGCGCGTGTTTCGCGGCGGCTCTTAGAGGAGCGCAATAGACGTTTTGTTCACCCTTACTTGCGCCGCGCCCCGCGCGCCCCGGAATGGCTCGCGCGCCGCGCGCGGCCTCGGGGCGCGAAGCGGCGCGCGCGGGAGGGGGGGGCCTGCCCTCGCCGCCACCCCTCGTCGCGCACACTGTCAATATCGTGGCGTTCCTCAAATTGCGTTCCCTGCTCTAACTCCCGCTGCTGCCCCCTGCCGCGACGCGGCGGAAAGGGGCGAACGCCTCGCGCCGAGCCCTAACCAGGACCACGCGCTGCTCCAGTAAGCCCCGCTTGGCGGGAGCATTCGCGGCCGCCCGCGCCGCGGCAGAAGCGGCCGGGGCCCCCGTGGGAGCCACTGCGCGAGACTGAGCAGGGGCTGCGCTGGCATTCAGTGGGCCGTTTCCGAAAAGCGTCGGCCCTCAAGACCAACAGCTGCGGCCCCTTTGCCCCTCCTTTCCCCTCCGTTCCCCGCGCACCTCCCCCTTCCCTGCCCTCCACCTGCCCCTGCCCGCCCCTTCCCTGTCCTCCACCCACTACCGGCCCCTCCCCAGTGCCCTTCCCTGGCCCCCCCCCCCTCTTCTGCGCCCCCGCCCTCCGCCGCCGCGCGCCGGGCACCCTGGAGCGGCGCCCCGGTCCGGGCCCAGGACGAGGCACCCCCCGAGGCCACCCCCTGGGGCCACCCGTGGGGCCACCCCGGGGCAACCCCTGGGACGAGCCACGATTTTCGCCCACGATTTTGTTCACGATTTTCCGTTAATTCGAATCAAAATGAAACAAAATCGTGTTCAAAATCGTGGTCAAAATCGTGGGCTGTCGAAATCGTCTGCAAAATCGGAGGCAAATCGTGGGCAAAATCGTGGGAAAAATCGTGGGCAGAATCGTGGAGCGAAGTCGTTGGCAAAATCGTGGGCGAAATCGTAGGCAAAGTCGTGGCCCCGGGGGTCGCTCCGGGGGTGCCTCATCCCGGGGGAACGAGGGGGGGGCTGAAAACGGACAGAGGGAGAGAGGGAGGCGGACAGAGAGAAGAAAAGGACCTGACCGGGAGGGGGGGGGCGGGAGGGAGGAGGAGGGGAGGGCGGCAGGGGGAGGGGAGGGAGGCACCCGCATCCCCTGGCTGTCTGGACTTGGCGCAAGGCGCCGCGGAGAAAAAAAAAAAAGCAGGAACCCCAGAACCGGAACGCCAGATATTACCTAACAGTGAAGACTGATAAGTTTCTAGTGGTCTCAAAAGAAAGCATCATGACTCCCCAAGGGGGTCTGGGCAGATGCCGGACGGGTGCCGCGGGAATCTGGGGACTCCCCATTTTCATTGCCAGGAGCTACATTTTGTCTGCCCGGAGCCAACAGAACACCACTCCCAGGCCACATTTTGAATACCCGGACCCAACTGTAGGCCACTTCGTGTTCTTCGTGCTCCCAGAACACCACTCCCAGGTCACATTTTGAATGTACGGAACCAACTGTAGGCCACTTCGTGTTCTTCGTGCTCCCAGAACACCATTCCCAGGCCACATTTTGAATGCCAGGAGCCAACTGTAGACCACTTCGTGTTCTTCATGTTCTCAGAACACAAATCCCACGTGAATTTCGAATGCCCAGAGCCAACTGCAGGCCACTTCGTGTTCTTCGTGTTCCCAGAACACCACTCCTGCACCATATTTTGATTGCCCGGAGCCAACCGTGGGCCACTTCGTGATCTTCGTGTTCCCTGAAGACAAGTTCTGTGCCATATTATGAATGCCCGAGCGGAGGCAAGCTGAGGCCGAGGCAGGCTGAGGCCGAAGCAGGCTGAGGCTGAGGCTGAGGCACGCCGAGGCAGGCTGAGGCTGAGGCTGAGGCAGGCTGAGGCTGAGGCAGGCTGAGGCTGAGGCAGGCTGAGGCTGAGGCTGACGCAGGTAGGCCGAGGCAGGCTGAGGCTGAGGATGAGGCAGGCTGAGGCTGAGGAAGGCTGAGGCTAAGGCTGAGGCAGGTTGACGCTGAGGCTGAAGCCGACGCAGGCTGAGGCTGAGGCCGAGGCAAGCCGAGGCAGGCTGAGGCTGAGGCTGAGGCTGATGCTGAGGCAGGCTGGGGCTGAGACAGGCTGAGGCTGAGGCTGAGGCTGAGGCAGGCTGAGGCTGAGGCAGGCTGAGGCTGAGGCCGAGGCACGCTCAGGCCGAGACAGGCTGAGGCTGAAACTGAGGCTGAGGCTGAGGATGAAGCCGAGGCAGGCCGAAGCTGAGACAAGGTGAGGCTGAATGGGGGGGGGAAGGGGGGGGGGCAGGAGGGGAGGCTGAGGCAGGCTGAGGCTGAGACAGGCTGGGGCTGAGACAGGCTGAGGCTGAGGCTGAGGCTGATGCTGAGGCAGGCTGAGGCTGAGGCTGGGGCTGAGGCTGAGGCAGGCTGACGCTGAGGCAGGCTGAGGCTGAGGCTGACGCAGGCTGAGGCCGAGGCAGGCTGAGGCTGAGGCTGAGGCAGGCTGAGGCTGAGGCCGAGGCAAGCTGAGGCTGAGGCTGAGGCTGAGGCAAGCCGAGGCAGGCTGAGGCTGAGGCTGAAACTGAGGCAAGTTGAAGCATACGTAGGAATCCATAGGAATCCTTCGGAATCCGTAGGAATCCGTAGGCATCCTTAGGAATCCGTAGGCATAGTTAAGCATCCTCAGGAATCCTTAGGAATCTTTAGGATTCCATTGGATCCTAAAGCCGTTGCCACTGCGACTGTCATTGCAAATGCGACTGCGACTGCGAGAACAGCAGAATTCTACAACTGGATTCTCACCTGAATCTTAAGGGAAATGCTTCCAGATTTGCTTATACACATCGCTGTTAGGTTGCTTTGCCGGGATAATTGTATCCCAGAGCCCGGCCTTAACGCGCCGCCGGCAGCCCACTCGCGACTGGGGTGCTAACAATTGTCGCACTCGCACGATTGCCCCGTTACTCCAAACACCTCCCCCCCTTGCCGCCCCATCCCTCCCCCGCTCTTCCTTCCCTTCCGCCTACCATCTCGCATGACTCCCCTTTCCTCCCTAGCTTCCCCCCTTCGTTTCTCCTCTCATCCTCTCCCGCTCTCTCCGTGTACTTCGCACGCGCATGGCGGGAGACCTCCGCGACGCGAGCAACCCGACCCGCGCAACGTGCCGCGCATGGCGCGGCGCGGCGCGCTTGCGCAAGACCTCATACACGCACAGACCGGAGGTCCCGTGAGCGGCACCAGCAACGCAACGCCACGCTCGCGGCACCACGCAGGCCGCGCACACGGCGCCGCGCACGCGGCACCGTACGCAAACACCGGGCACCTCGCGCGGCAGCACGTACGTGGCGCTATTTGCACGGTACCGCGCCGGCACGCAGCACGACGCGCATCGAACTGTGCACCGCGCGCAAGGCACGCACGCGCACGCGAAAGAAGCACCGCGCAACACCGCGCCCGCAACTCCAGGCACACGACACCACAAATTCAACGTCGGCTGCAGAAGCGGCGGTGCGTTCGCGGCACCTCGCGTGCGGCGCCGCGAGGAAACGCCACAACCTCGGCGCCGACCGCGGGGCGCCGCGCGAACGGCACAACCCGCGCTGCACCGCGCACGCAGCACAGCACGCAACGCAGATGCCCAACTTGGGGTGCACGTCGGCAACGCGACAGCAGCTGATGAAACAATCTCAACAAGAAAACAGAACATACAAAAAAAAACGGGCGGGGGATCTACAAAAAATCGTTGCGAAAATCGGCTTGGGGGACGGGACCTGAGGAATCATTGTATGAGTAGTTTGGCATGCTAGCTCGGAAAGTCAGGGGCCTCTGGGCACGTGTTGACAGACGGGCTCGGCGTGGGCCCCCGGAGACAGAAAACAACCCCAAAACCGGCCGCCCCGATTTTTGTTGGAGCATCGGATCTCTGGGCGCCCCTCTGGCGAGCCACTGCCCGGCGACCCTGCGGCCGCGCTCGGAGGCGGCGGCGAGGCCGCGCCGCTCGCCGCTCGGCGGGGCCCGGCGGCGGAGGCTGCCGCCGCCGCCGCGTGCGTGGCCCACGACGGCGGCAAGCCGCAGCGCTGATGGTGCTCCTGGGGCAGGGAGGGGGAGGGAGAGTGTTTTCCACCGTCCAGGCCGCAACGCGCGTTAGGACCTCCCGCCCACCCCCCTCTCCCCCCGATAACGCCACGCCCCCCCCCCCCCCGCCCCTCTCACCGCCACCACCCAATGCGTTGTCGGCAGTGCCACCATACGTCCAGCGCCAAAGTCTGTGGTGCCAGACCCACACGCCGTGAGGGCGGGCGTCGGGTGATGCCCACCACCCTTTGCCCCCCTTTCCTGCCCCACACCCAGAACGCCTGCCATCGCCAAGACTTCTTAACTCTCAAGCGAAGCTGGCGCAGGCGTCCTTGCGTCGTCAGAAGATCCGGACGGGAGGTGTCTTTGGACGCTTTCTCGGCCTCCAGGGGCCCCCGCGGGGCCCGGGGTCGTCCATCCACGACCCCGGGGCCGCAGGGCCCGGTGCTGGGGAAAAGGTCCAGACCTCTGGGGAACCGCGGATCTGGGATAGGGGAACAAAAAATGGCATAAACATAGAAACTCGGAGGTCCGCGAGGATTTCTCGGATCGGCGCTGGGGCCCCCCGGCAGCGCCTCCGGCGCCGCCCCTGGCGCGCTCCGCGCGCCAGGGAGGGGGGTCCAGCGCCCATCCGAGAAATCCGCGCGGACCTCCGAGTTTTTATGTTTATGTCACTTTTTGCCCCCCTATGGGAGGGAAGCAAAACTGGTCGAATCACGGGTCGTCAGAAGATCGCCTCCCGAGCTAGCCTATCTCAGGGTGGGGCTTCCAACACCAGCGATCCCAACGAGTGCGCGCTCTGGAAATAGCCTGTTCCAACATAGATCCCAGCGCCAGCTAGGCGAAGCAACTCGGGAAATAATCCCCCCCAAGGTCCAAAACATCCAGCGCTCCAATTTCGATGCGTGGGCCTGGGAGGCCTGGACCACCTCCCTTGGGCCCGCTCGTCATCCTGAGTATACTCAGGGCGAAAAGCTGGCGAAAGCTATGGCTGCTTGCAGGTCCCGAGCCCGGCGAGGACCCCTGGAAGTCGAAAAGAGCCAAAACAAGCAGCTACTCCAAATATCTCGGGGATGGACAGAACCCCTTTTAGTAAAACGTGGTTTCTTGGAGACGACCTCGGGCCCAAACCTGGCGGGCGCAAGCCTGGAAAATGACGGCCGCGGCGCCCCCTCCGAGAACCGAAAACGGACAGTTCGCTAATCGACATGTCGGGGTGGGGGTTCTGCCCACCCCCGATCATCTCTGGGCATCGGCTCCGTGGTGCTGGCCCCCTGGAAGTCGAGGCGAGCCAAAGCAAGCAGTCACCCCCGATCACCTCGGGGTCGGGGATCTTCTGACCCGGGTCAATCCAGACCCGGGTCAGTCAGGCCTTGCAGGATCTTGCAAGATCCTGCAAGATCCTGCACCCAAACCCGGGCCAACGCGAAGGATCCTGCAGGATCCTGCAGGATCCTGCACCCAAGCCCGGGTCAATGCGACCCTGGCCCTACAGGATCCTGCAAGATCGGGCGCTCTGGCTGGCCCCCGTTTGCATTGACCCCCGTCTCTTGAGCCCCGACGGTTGAGCAGGGACCGACCGTCCCGGCATTCCTATAGTCCTACCATGAAATGTACCTAGAACCCAGAAGTGTTCTATGATCACAAACGATGTTCTTAGAGCATAATAGCCCGATGTGTCAAAACGAGACGGACTCCGCCGGAAATGCTCTAAGAACATCCCGTGGAAACCACAAAAAAGGTTTCCTAGAACATATTGCTGGGTGGGGCTGCAGGCGAGCCAAGACGCGTCGCCACTGCTTGAGACGGGGCGTCGGCTCCGTGCCTGCCGGCCCCAGGCCCCGCCCTGCCGGTGGACGCGGGCGCGCATCTATATAGGCGCCCGGCCGGCACGCGCAGTCCCCCGGCGGCTCTCGAGGCCCCGTCGCCCGTGCCCGGGTGCGCCTGCGCCCCCCGTGTGGCGCCGCAGCCTCGGGACCAGACGCAGGTCGGGCACGTCCCCCCGCAGGCGGAGTCTGGACGACAGGTAAACTTGTCCCAGTGCGACCCTGCCTAGGAGTTGGAGCCTCTAGGAAAGCAACATCAGTAGGAGTTGGATCCTCTAGGAAGGCAGCAGTATATATATATATATACATCTATATATACATATATATGTATATATCAGTAGAAATAGAGGATGCTGTGCTGCGCTATGCTGTGCTATGCTATGCTATGCTCTGCTCTGCTCTGCTATGCTGTGCTATGCTATGCTATGCAATGCTGCGCAATGCTATGCTGGGCTAGGCTAGGCTAGGCGCTGCTATGCTATGCTATGCTATGCTATGCTATGCTATGCTATGCTATGCTATGCTGCGCTATGCTATGTTTTGCTATGCGATGCTATGCTATACTATGTTGTTGATTTGCCTTCGCTTTTGCCTTTGCTTTTGCTTTTGCTTGGCACCCAGAGAGCGCAACTGGGGGAACCGCGCGTTTGCTTTTACCTTTGCTTGTGATATTGCTTGGCCCCCAGGGGACTGGGGGAACCGCCCGGGGCGATTTCCACTGCCCGGCCCTACGAGTAAGAACCCTTCTAGGCAGAGCCTAGCTAGGGAAAAACATGGTCAAGCAATACCCCAAAACGGTCAAAAAATAGACCCAACAAAAATCGTCCCCGGATTATGGTTTGGCTGTTTCTGCACATGCCTCCTGCAGAGGGACAGGCCCGACTGAAGACCAGACCCAGAGATCCCATGCTCCGAAAAGAAAGGGGAGCGGCCGGTCTCACGCCGTGTTCGGGCTCGGGGGGGCCCTCAAAGGGCCCCGCGTCACAAAAAAGCGCTCAGGAAGGACAGCTGGCCCTATAGGGAAGCGGTCCAGGCCTCCGGGGGTCCACGGTCCACGCATCGAGCAAGAAAGAGCGCCAGATGCCTGGGGACGTGGGCCCGTGGCTGCGCGGGTGCTCCCGGACTCCGGTCGGTCGAGCCTGCTGGTCAAGCGGCGCAGTGGCAGAAAAAGTTTGCGCACTGTGGACAGCGGAAACATGAGGAAGGGAGGAGAAAGAGAGGAGAGGTCCCAGAGGAACTACGCTGAAAAGAAGCAGATGTCCGGGCAGAAACTCCGCAACGCAGGGGGCCGATGTCTGCTCGGGCCTTCCCCTGCGTCGCCGGGCCCCCGAAACGGTGCGGGGACGGACCCTGCGGTGAATGCCAAGAAAGCTCACCGCGCGGTCCGCCACCGCACGCCTCGTTATGGGACCACATAAAAAGACACACGAAGGCCCTGGCAGGCCGAGGCGTCCTCGGAGAGCGGCCCGGGAGGGTCCAAAGCCGTGCGGTCACCCCGAATCCACATTGACGCACCACACGGTGCGGTGACGCGCACCGCATTGCCAGGGTCCGCGACAGAGGTCCGACGTGACGGAAGACGCGCATGCGGGGGCTCCGACCGGACCGTTTGACCAAATGGCTCTGCGGCATGTCTCGAGCCAGGTCGTTCCGTGCTTCTTTGTTGCTTCGATCTCGAGCCGAGTCGTTCCGTGAACGCCCTGGGCCTGAATCGAGACGACGCCTTTCGCCGTGTTTTTCTCCGACGCCCAGGTGCGAAGTCTGCGGATGTTCCAGGAAATGTCTGGGGATCTCCCGAGGCCGTTGGAGGCCTCCGCAAGGGCAAAGTCGTGATTTGTGGTTCAACGACGCTTGGATCTTCGAGCCGCTGAGTGATCAACGTTTCCCTCCCGCTGATCCGCGTCCGGGGCTGAAGCACTTCGCCCGCTCATCTCCAGTGACGCAAGCATCACGGCAGCCACAGGTATATATCACTATGAAAAGAGCATCTTGCGATGGAAAGAAGATCATTACGTCAGCCTGCAACGGGAACGATCCATGTCCACCGACCTGAAAGCGTGCTCCAGAGGACGTGGCGGAGCGCTGGCTGTATGGATGCCGGCATGCCCCCCAAGCGCGGGACAAGTCCGCCCCCGGCGTCCTGGCGAGATCCTCGGAGGGCGCGCGCCTCCAGATCGGTGGGCGTGGGCACTCTGACCTTCATACTCATACCCTCTTACGTTTCGCTTCATCTGTTCCGTGGGGCAGTTGTGCACGACGCCACCGCCAAATTGAACAATGCGAGGAGTAGGTGCTCGCTGCCGAGCGAGAATCATGCCAGTCCGTTGCCTAATCATGCTGGTGTCCCGAGGGCTCTTAGTGGTTCACACAAAGCACCATCATCAGAATACAGATCACCGACTTCAATACGTTGCATCCGTGGCATGTTGAGGCGGCACCGTGGCCAAATATTAGTTCGCGGCATGAAAGAACTTGACAGTACTCCGTGTCCCTCCATAGTTCTGGGGGTACCTGTAGTCTGGGGAGGGCACCTGTAGTCCAGGGGATAGGTACACCTGTAGCCCAGGGGGGACAAGTACTGATAGTCCAGTGGTGGGGTACTATACCAGTAGTCCGCGGGGGGGGGGGTGGAGGGCAATAGTCCGGGGGGGGGGGGGACAAACAGTTCGAGGGGGGGCCAGAAGTTGGCGGACCCCGTAGTACCGAAGTCCTGAGGGGCGCAACTGATGGGCACAGAGTAGGAACAAGCGCCGGGGAACACCACGCCCGCCGACGAACCCCACATCGACCCGCGTCGCGGCGGCCCTGTCGCGCCGACGGGACGAGGCCAAGACCCCCATCGGGGGAGAGCCCCCCCGCCCACGGTTGCGAGTCAGCTGCGCACGAGGCGGTGGTCCAGAGAGGGGGCCCTGAAGGATGGGGGCCCGAGGACGAGGTGCCCCCGGCAGGGCGAAGACAGCCTCGGCCCCTTTCCTGTCCCGAGGAGCCCATCCCGCAAGGACCCAGCTTTGGACCGCCGAGCAGGAGTGGCCCAAGACCAGAGCGACCTCTGGTGCGCGGCTTGCTGATAGGAGCAAGTGTTAGCCAGCGTCGGTCCCAAACAAGGGAAGGTTGCAACATTTGCGGTGCAATTTAGGTTGTGCGGTCCAGGTAGTGCAGCCTCGGTGGTGCACGACATTTGGTATCAAACAATGCAACGCAACGCAAAGCAACGCAACGCAATACAACGCAATGCAACGCGATGCAATCCAAAGCAACGCGATGCAAATCATTGCAGCAGTGCGAAGCAATACGAAGCAATGCAATGCGACGAAAACAACTGTGAAGCAATGCGAAGCAATTCAAATCAGCGCAAGAAGGCAATACACAGCAATATAAAGAAATGCGACGCAATGCACAGCAATACGAAACAAGGCAAAGCAATGCAATGCGATGCACAGAAATTCACAGCAATGCACCAAAAGTACGATGCGCTGCAGATGAATGTAGAGCAATGCAGAGAAATGCAAAGCAATGCAACGAGATGCAAAGCAATGCAGGGCAATGCAAAGAGCGAGCCTCGCGAAATCCAAATCGAAACCAACATGCTGCTGCGACGGACGGCGGCGACAGGCCGCGGCGGGAGGCCATAAGCCTGCCGGACCAGCGCAGACTCGCTGCTGCGAGCCTCGCACGATAGCCAGCGTGGACCCCCAGAGGTGAGTTCTTGCAATCCATGCGGGGCCATCCAGGTGCTGCAATACATGTGGCGCAATCTAGGTGGTGCAACCCAGGCGGTTCAGTCTAAGCGGTGCAAAACAATGCAACGCAATACAGCGCCAAGCGATGCGAGACAATGCAAAGCAATACAAAGCACTGCCACGCAGCTTCATGCGAAGCAATGAATGCATTGCAACGCGTTGCAAATCATTGCAACGCAATGAAAGGCGATCCAGAACAATGCATTGTAAAATATTGTAACGCACTACACAGCCATGCAAGTCAAAGTAATGCAATGCGAAGCAAAGCAATGCGATGCAAACAACTGTAGGGCGCCATAAGCAGCACAAAGCAGTACAAGTCACCGCAAACCAACATAAAGCAGTGCAAAGGAATGCAAAGCAAAGCAATGCAAAGTAATGCAAAGTAATGCAAAAACAATGCAGCGCAAAGAGCGAGCTTCGCGCAATCAAAATCGTGACCAACATGTTGCGGCGACGGGCGCCCACGAGCTGGCTGGACTGGCGCACAGGCCCAGCTACTTAAAACAGACGTAGAAGCCCCTAACTGAGTGCAAGCACTCTCCGGGGAACGCTCACAATCGTGACCAACGTGGTGCGGCGACGGGCGGCGGCGAAGGGGCGGCCACAAGCCGGCTGGAACAGCGCACAGGCCCAGTCCCTGATGAGAGGAGGAAGAACCCCTCAGAGCAAGCACCGCTTCGGGACAACGCCGCACGAGCATGCACTTTCGGAGGTCCGCGCGGATCTCTTGGATCGGCGCTGGACCCCCTCCCTGGCGCGCGGAGCGCGCCAGGGGCGGCGCCAGTGGCGCCGCCAGCGGGGCCCAGCGCAGATCCAAGAGATCCGCGTGAAGTCCGCAAATTTCTGTCTATGCCGTCCCTCTGCTCCTCGACGCGCGCAGTGCCGCCGTGGCGGCCTGGCCGCCTTGGGCCTGCCCCGCCCCGAACCAAAACAAAAAAACACACGCCGTGCACCGCGGGCCGCTCCAGCGCAGCGGAGGGCCGCCGAGCTCCTGCGCGTGGCCGGTGTGCGGGCAGCTGTCCGGGGGCAGGCCCCGGGCGCGGGGGTGGCGCTGCGAGCGCTGCTGGGCGAAGCTGGGCCATGGCATGCCGTGGCCCGGGGTGCGCCCAGCGGTGCTCATATGCGGGGCGCCCCGGCTCGGGAAGACGCGAGGCTCGGGCTCGGGGGGCTCGGGTCGGTCTGGCGGGGCCGTCCGGAAACTGGCGAGGCCCCACCCGAGAGGTGGCGCGAGCTCCCGCCGCAAACCTCCCACAAGAGCTGGACCGTCAAGACCAGAATCGAGCCCGTGAAACGGCGTCGGCAGACCTGAGTTCCAGCGAGCTCGAGCCTGGCATTTCCCCAACCCGGCGCACGCGGGGGTGGGGTGCCCGGCCGACGCCTGCGCGCGTGCGACTGCAGGCCCTCGCGGCACGGCTCAGCCTGGGGAGCTCTTGTAGAAGACACGGCTGCCCGCTGCATATGAGGAGGTTGGGGCAAGATCAGAAAGCATGTTGCATCCACAAGGGGGCCGTTTCTGTCCCATCGCGTCGTTCATCCGTCTCGAACTTGCTTCGAGTCCGCGTCGAGTCCGCGTCGAACATGCGCTGGATACACAAAAAGACAATAACTTGCACGAGAACCGAGATCCCTAGAAGATGCAAGCTAACATAATAACCAGAAAGGCACAATCATAAACTCTTGGCGGTCCGCGCGGCCCTCCGATAGTTGTACGCTCGTGCCGCCTCCGATGTTCAAGTGGGGGGAGAGGGAGTACGCGTGGTTGATTGCAACTCCTCGCCGCTCGGCTTAGTCAAAAATTCGTCGCATAGAATCGTCGCTTCTGGAAAGCGAACTCAACAAATGCTGAAAGGGGCCCTGGGACACGCAGACAGATAAACACAGATCCAAGGACTCGCCATACGATCCAGTATTTCCTGGGTTTCTCGTCTTCCCCCAGCTTCCGACATTTTCCCGTACTTCCTGGGGGTCGACGATTCACTGTGTCTGTGTGTGTGTGTTTTTCCCCCTCCTGAACTCTGACGTATCATTCATACTTCTGCCGCCGTCCACCAGCCTTCCACTGGCGGAGCCGCCCCCCGTCACGACAACGACGGCAGCCTTTTTCCAACCCACCCCTGGACCTGCGCGGAGGCACGCTCTGGCCAGGGTTTTTCGGGGCAGGTCTGGCGGGGGTGGCGAGAGGCCCCCCACGCCGCCCCACCGACAGCAACGACGGCGGCGACGACTGCCACGGCGACGGCCACCACCTCCTGGAGTTCACAGAATGTGGATCAGCCTTCCAGGACGTGCTCGCCCCCCGAATAATCTTTCGATCGGCCCCGGGACTTCGACCTGGAAATTTCCGACCCTCCGTCGATCCTCGACCCTCCTTTAGTCGAACGACCCTGAGGGCCCGGAATCCATCGCAGGTTTGGCGCCTCCGGGATCATCCAGGATCGAGGCCGGATCGAAGATGGAAGAGCCGAGGTCCACAAGGAACCGAGGACGCAGGAGCAAGCGCGCACAAAAGATCCAAGGCCGACCGCAGGCCGAGAACTCTGCATCCCGGGCCAATCGAAGATCAAGCGCCCACCGCCGTCCGGATATCCATAACCCGCGACCGACGCACCAGGATCGCGATCGAGGATCGAGGATCGAGGGCCGAGGGCCGCAGCCCGGGGCCGAGCACCGAACGAAGACCGAGCTTCTGGGATCCAGGACCGATCGATGACCGAAGGCTCGGGGTCGAACCGGCATCGACGGTGTAAGATCCAGGATCCAAGATCGAGGATCCAGGGCGGATCGAGGACCAGAGGTCCAAGACCGATCGACGACCCAAGGCTGCGGCATCCAGAGCCGATGTACGATCGATGGTTCCGTTTCGATCGACTGGCCAAGAACCAGGCCAGATCCTGGATCCTCGACCCTTGATCTTCAATCTCTCAAAGATCGTCGATCGTCCATCCTCCATCTTCGAACGGCCCTGGACCCCCGAATCTGGAACCTCGATTGCCGAACTCTGGACCAATCCACGATCTGGGGTCTGCTCAAGATCGAAGAATCTGATGTTCGATCTTCGATAGGCCCTCGATCTTGGAGCCTTGACCTTCGAACGTCCCTGAATCCTCGCTCCTCCATCGGTCTTGGCCCAGGGAACGCGACTCTGCCCCCCAGCGGACTGCATGACCCGAAATTGACTTCCAGGTGTCCCCAAGGTTTCGAAACTCTGGAGTCTCACACAGTCTGGCGCGCGCTGGGGAATTTCTTTTACCGAAACGTAAGTAAGGGTGGCTCGGAGACGGTACGAGATCAAAACATATAAAAGAACCACACATTACATGTTTTAACGCATGTTGGCAGAGTTTTGCATATTTTCATACTTCGCAACGCCGGCTCAGCAACGGAACGATGTCAACCAACATGCGTAGAACATCACGCAATTAACTAACATGTGTGTTGCCATACATGTTCTGTTAACTTTCTCTATGCTCACAAGTTCTAACGCCGGCTCGCCAACGGGAGAAAGGCAACTGCTAAACATACAAAAGCTGCCAAATATGTATCTGTATATATATATATACATAAGTATGTGTGTGGGTTCATGCATGCTCATACTACCTCTCATAATGCCTCATCATCTGTAGCGCCACCTCACAAACGGAAACACATCAACAAGTATATAAACATATTACTTTGCTGTGGTACTTTTCATATTGTCGCAGTAAGAAATGTTGGAAGACAGCTGTTTTCACGCACTTTCTCGTAACATGCATGTTTATTTGCAACGCCGGCTCGGCAACGGACACCGAACATAACAAATCCAATGGTGTGCATATATATATATATATATATATATGTATAACATGTATATACATATATGTGCGCGCGTAATTCGATATATTCCTTTTCAAAGTGTTGAGCAATGTCCCAATGGGAATTCAAACAAATAAGGCAGACCCCAAATCCACAATATCTCAATACTCTTTGAATAGGGTCCAAATGATAAATCAACACGAACGGAGCAGGCCCCAGATCCCAATAATGTCAGCAGGTTTGGATGAAAACCAATTTGGAATTCAAGAGACATGAAGCAGGCACCAGATCCAGAGGATTTCCCATGGATCCGAACAATATCCAAGTAGGGATGGAACAAAATTGCACGACACCCCTGATGAAAATGATTTCCATTGGGCCTCAGTGAGACCCAGATGAGAACTCAATAAGAATGGAGCACGCCCCAGAGCCAGAGAATTTCAATTGGATTTGAACGGCTCGCCGGACATGGAACAGACAGTATAGTCAGAGAGTTTCAAATGGTTTTTGAATCGCACTCAAACAAGAATTCAAACTAAAAACATAAATCCGAAGAATTTGAATTGGATCTGAATGAAAACCCAAATTTGGATTCAATCTGATCGAATTCCATTTCCATTTGAATTCCTGCCCCTCCTCGCGCTTCACGCGCGCCCCCTACTCGTCGCCCTCCCCCTCCTCCTCCGCCTTAGCCTCCCCCCCCTCGCCCCCTCGTGTCCTCGTCGCCCCCCCCCCATTCCCCAGCTCCCAGCCAGACCGAGCCGAGCAGTTCCGAGCGGGCGCGCAGGCCCGTCGAGCCGACGACCACCGCGACGACGACGACGACGACGGCGACGATGACCACGACGACGACGACGATCACGACGACGACGACCACCACCACCGCCGCCACCACTGCGACTTCAGCGGCGGCGGTGGCGATTTTTGAGATGTGTGTATTTTTCTTGTCGGGATGCCAGGGGCTCCGCCAACAAAAAAAATATTAACAAATAGCTAAACATACATGCTGCCAGATATGTTTCGTTATGCTTTACATGCTTGGCTTTTTAACAATGTGTATACATATCCTGTTGGAATGCTAGAGGCTCCGCCAACCAAACATGTGAACAAAACACTAAACCATATGTGTGTAATGGAGTCTGTGCTTTTTTGAAATATGGTTTGGTACTTTGTTTGGTTTTGTTTTTTTCATAATTAGTTTCGTGGCATGCCTGGATCTGCGCGCAAAAGTAATTCCGTTGTTGGAGCCTGCTGTCTGAGGGCCAGAGATTGTAACCCAATATTGCCCCAAGGCGACCCCACCTACCGAATGGACGGTCACCGCTTGGGACCTAACTCGGACGTGCTCCGGGGAGCGACAGCTCTGGAATCTAGCTCGTTGGCACACACAGCGCACAATGAGAAGCACGTGAAATGTCTGACGGTAGAACTGGGCAAGAATGCGAAAATGGAACCCCGTTGCGTCGGTACGTCGGTACAGGCTCGAGTTGAACTCGGAGGAATTCTCCCCAGAGATCGTAATTCTCTGGCGACGTGAGATGCGGCAACGTGGCTGTGAGGAAGTCCCAGGCGAAATCTGAACGGTCGTCCACAAGCACGGTTGTGAGGAAATCTCTAACGACACCATGTTTCTCCGGCGGCTGCATGGGGACCAGGGAGTTTTCTGTCAGGAAGTCCTAGGCGGAACCGATTTGGGGACCCCATCTGGGAAACCATCCGGGAAACCTACAGAGGCGTCGGCATCTTTGCCTCCTCTGCACGGCCACAGCGGCGGCGACGGGGGGCGGCGACGGCAGCCCACGGAGCCCCCCCGCCGCCCCATGGCCTCGCCGATGCCCGCGAGGGCGTTGCCGGGGGGTTGGCGCCGGGGGCCCTCCGGCGCCGGTGCGGGGGGCACCTGTGCAGGGGCAGGGCCTGGCGCCCCCCCCCCCATGTCGGATGCTTGGCACTGGGCACCAGCACCAATCCAGAGGGTTGCCTCCACAGGGGGGAGGATGATCCTGGATTCTGGTATGGTGGGCAGAGAGGAGGTCTGCACGAGCGACGGAAGGAAGCGGGTCTCACGCGAGGAGGCATACGGTTGGGAGCTTCTGCTGAGCGCGTCGCGGCGGCGGCCCCGTCGACACGCTATGTCTTGGGAGCAGATACCGTGTCGCTCCGTTCCGCGGGGCCTGACGCCGGGCAAAGCTCGGGACGTTGACGCTCGGGGACTGGGACGTTGATAGCGTGCCGCGCCGCAGCGTGGCGGGCCAGAACCGGCGGCGCGACACGCTAAGCCAAAGCTCCCGACCGCAG